AGGATTTCTTACTATCAATTTTCACACACACACTAAATGCTTATGAGCTAAATCTTTTGATAAGTGGTGTGAAGAATAGGATGGAATATTTGACTTTAAGTGAATGTATGAGAACTCTTGAATATTTAAGACTTTGTATCTAATTGAACTTTAATTCATAAATTTTCTTTGCATGCATATCATATAGTTGCATTCTTGCAGTGGGATTTTGTGGGTAGATTCACTGAAAACCCTCTCGAGACACAACTCATCTACTAAGGTAACCTAGGGGTTTAAAGACTTGTTGCATGTGCTAAGTGCAATCGTGATTCTTATAAAAGTGAGTTAAGTTTTATTTTCTTTTTTGTTATTTGTTTTTTTATTTTACTTGGTAATGAGTAAAACTTAAGTTTAGAGGAATTTGATGAGCTGAATTTATATATATATATTAATGTGAAAATTTTGCCTTAATATTAATGATATTTGAATGAGTTTTACGAGATTTTATTTGATTTTACATAATTTTCATTCTTTGTATGGGTAAAGACTTAATTAAAAGAAATCATAATTTTTAAGAAAAAATTACAAAGATAAAAAATTTAAGGATTAATTTGTATAGAATCCAAAAGTCAGGGACCGAGACTGTAATTTAACCATTAACAGAAATTGCTCGCAAGGCCAAAAATCCGACACGTTGATTGCAGTGCGTGCTTAATAGAAGGTGTTGACCCCTTTTGTTAAGCGCGCACTGCAACGTGTCGGGTCTTTGGCCTTCCCAGCTATTTCTATTAATGGTAAAATTACAATCTTGGTTCCTAACTTTTGGATTCTCCACAACTTAATCCTCAGTTTTTTTATCTTTACAATTTACTTTTAAAAATTATGGCTTTTTTTAATTAAGTTTTTTCTTACACAAAAAATGAAAATCATGTAAAATTTTATAAAATTCATCAAAATATCAACAATATTAAGATAAAAATTTCATATTAATATATATATATAAATTCAACTCATCAAATGCGTTCTTTAAATCATTCAAAGAAAAATTAATCTTGTGAGATGTATAAAAATTGATTCGAAGAACATCTTTCAGGATGATGTAATAGTGTCAAAAAATGTGCATCGAAAGGTCCACATGAACTAGAGAAATTCAGATATTGCCTGCAATCTACTTGCGTAACGTATTTTCATTTTCCATCAAAGAATTTGAAATAGAAATTAAGACTGTAGGGACCGTGTGGTCCCCGAAGGCCAAGCATGGGGCAGTCTCTCCTCTCTGTCTCTCTCCCAATTGTATCTCACGTCTCAGTTGAGACTCATGTGGGAGGACCGGCGTTGGAGGCGTGGA